AGCAGGCAAGCCTCCCTTCCATATCAAACTGGTCCTGAAGAACCACACACGTACACACTCACATAGCAGTCTATTTATCCTATTACGTCTCATTTATTCTGTCATCTCTTTAGAATAACAGAAAAATGGAAGTCATCCATGGCCAGGCAGACCACAGCAAAAGCTCTTGTACAGCTATGTATAGGTTGAATGAGCAGCAGAAATATATATCTGTATGTTTGTGAGTGTCAGACATGTATAGTAAATCTTATATCTAACACAACATTAAAGGAATGTGCTGACAAAGAAAGACTCTTGAGCTCCTTTTCAAGATTTAAGAAGATTAATATAAATCTAATATACAGTGGTGGTGAAGTCGCTTGAAAAAGCAATACAGTTTATTTATCAGTGTATGTGACTCAACATGGAACAGAAACACTAAAAAAAAAATCCATCTGAATCCATCTGTTTCATAAGGCCTTCAATCTTAAACATAAAAATAGTCTGAACAGAAATATGTGGAGTTCTCCTCTTTGTACAAGCTAACAAAGTATCTCTGAAATAATCAATCAACATCCAACTGAATGAATCAGTAAAACAACAAATAAGCTGACTTTCATTAATCAAGTCTTAACTGAGATTAGCAACTATATGCTAAAAAATTTTCAAACATGAACAATTCATTTATTGGGAGTTATATGCTATATCTATAGAGTGGGTTGTCTACCCAGCACAAATACAAAACTTCTGTCCAAACACAATTTACTTTTGTGTTTGGACAGAAGTTTTGTATTTGTGCAGCATAATTTTAATTTTCCTGTGACAGAAACACTCTAACTTGTAACTGGTTTGGAATTACCCAATCATCATGTTATTGGACCAGAGAAAAAACTTCATGCAAACACAACAGAGCCTACCAGGTGATTCAAACAGGAAACCTTCTTGCTATGAGGTGCCTGTGCTAACCACTGCAGCACTGTACTACAAGAACTCCTGCTTTATAAGATGGCACATACTTAAGCAGTCAAAAAACTGTGTCACTGTTTTGGAATGAGGTTAAAAAGACACTCTGGGATAAGAGCAAGTATGGATCAAGACATTCTATAAAGACCTGTTAAAGCTGTGCTGTGATGCCCATAAATGTCTAAAACTGCTGTCATGTACTCAAAGATCTGCAGACAGTATTATCACCCTAAAATAACATCACTTAAACAGAGCAGAAGATTCAATGTGGAAAACTAGAGTCTGTAGCGATGACAGTACAGGAAAAGGTCAAAAGGTAGAGCAGGCTTATAAAGATAAAGAGCTGAGGTGCAGGACTTGGAAGAATGACTTATTCCAGTTAGAATGGCAGGACAAAGACTAATGTAATATTTTTTATGAGGTTTCTAGGAAGAGAGGAGTGTTTGTGTTGTTATTATGCAGGGGATTTTTGCTGTGAGCCTAAATTCTCTGATGACGACTGCACCGAGTAAATGTCGTCTACAGTTCATCAAAGAAGACAGCACCTGCATGTTCTCAAAGGTTTTCTTGGCCTCTGTCCAGTCTTACTGCTCTTTGAATTTCTTCCTGCTGCTTAATATTTCTTCCTACACTTTATTTGCACACTCCACTACTCTTTGAAACGTCTCATCCTTAATCCACTTGAGACATCTGCTTGGAATGAAACTAAAGCCCAGGACTGAGTCATCCAAAGATGGTCTTGGAAAAATGAAGGATATCTACTGACGGATGGATCTCAGCTGTACGGGGCACACAAGCATCTAAGTGTGCCACGCCCTTAGCCAAGGCCAAGAGTTGTGTATATATAGAAGCACACGAAGACTATTCTTAGTCTGTTTAAGGCTACACAAACACGTGCTCCATGCCCAGTTTGCATCGTCTTTCAGAGCTGCTGACATGCAGAACAGGGTCCATAGATGGATGACTACAGCTCTGTTGGCTGCTACTCCCACAAACTGGCAAAGAGGAAAGGTGCTTTCCCAACTGGCACCCATCAATGGAGCTGCTAGCCTTGGTTAGGTAAAGGGTATTTCCTGGTTGTAAAGTGTGAGATTTGTTTTCCTTTCTCGGCTGATTTCTAGTCTTGCCCACCAATGGGGGGGATTAACCGCTCTAGCCCAAGGCTATTTTATTGAATTAGTGCCTGAAAAAAACATACCTTAATTTAATCTGTAAAAGCCCCACACTGTTGGACCAACGTTAACAATCTTGGGCTTTATGGATAAATGACATGGGAGAGAAGTTTAAAAGACGTTTTTCACCATGGCCACAAACGAAAACAACTTCAAGAGGTAAAATACTTCTAAAGAGATACGAGATACTTCATGAGACAACAACTTAATAAGCCCGTGATACAGAAGTCATTCTTCATCATAACCATGTAGACAGCCAAGTGTGCCATATATTGCACTGCTTAGGGTTTAATACTAAATATCTCTCTCAAAGGTTACAAAATGCACCTCGCAGTACCTCTAAAGCTCACAAATCAAAATGTCTTTTTATCTTAACCTTGTTTGTTTAAGTTCTTTTCAATTCAGTAGAGTATTATAAAAGTACCAGAAAAGATAGAAAAGATGCTGCTGTAGGGACTCAGTCATATTCAGAGCTCAGCTCTTACCTCATTGTCTGTGCCAACGTCCAGCATCACAGGTAGGCACTGCTGTGGTGGCATACCTCCACAGGCTGTGTAAAGGGCCAGCTTGCCAACTGGGATTCCCATGCCATTGCAGCCGAGGTCCCCCAGCCCGAGGATCCTCTCTCCATCTGTCACGCACACAGCCTGTTAATAGATTAAACTGTCAGCCATAAAAACAGCATACAGAGGTCACACCAGAGATCTTATTATCTTATTATTTTTATTAAAAATCTGTGCGTGGTTCAACTACATTCTGGTTAGAAGAAATCCCTCAAACCTTTTTTCAGCAAGAATCAGATATCAGATTCTTGCTAGTCACATTAAATTTGCTTAAATAAATAACTTTGCTTAGCCTTATTTTGTTTCAACTCCAAATTTCTTCATCAATACAAGTCCACCCCACTACCAGAAAACATGTTTTTTTCCTCAGAGTGAGCCAGGCACTCCTACACCACCTGGCTTTCCACTCACAAGTCACTTTACTTATTAAGAGATAAGTTTCTCAGTGGGTTGTTTCCACAGTATATATATATAAAAAAACAGTTGTGTAATGTTTAATATAGGCAGCAGAACAGTTTAATGCAAAATGTTCCTAATTCGGAGCGTTTTTCTGTTTTTCTTTTTTTCTTTTTTTCTTCAGTTCTTTTTTCCAGCACTGCTATGACGCAGAAAACTCTGGCCCAAGGATTTAACAGCCTTTTTCTCCCATAATCTGAATGTTTAAAGAGTGCCGTTAGCTTTCTGAATTTAAAATCCACAGCACCCTTACTAAATACCATTAGCAGCTTGTTTTTTCTATCACTTGCTAATATGTGACAGAAAAGCAGCCAAGTCCTGTCAGTGGATGGCTACCTTGGCTCCAGCGTGCCCTCTGTTAAAGTAGGGCATATTAGGCGAGCTTATCATGAGACCACCCTGACAACGAGAGGCGGCATGTCAGTGCCGAGGTAAATGCTCTGCTGTTGACAGCTGCGAACAGGTGGCTGAGGCTGCAGGTATATTTGACATGCCAAGAATGCCTTCTGGTGTCGTCATTCTAAATATGGCTAGATTATGACTTGCACATAGTTGTGCTATACACAAGATTAAAGAAATAGTTGAGGTTTTTGGGAAATTGGCCAGTAAGACGGGTCAAGGGAATCAATGCCAAAGTCTTCCAAGCCCCAGAGACTCCTGGATTTAGAGAGAGCCCCTCTAATCATCTTGAAATATTTAGTGTAGTCATACTGTATTAAATGGATAATCATGCATCTCACCATTAAATATCACCATCTTATGGTTTGTACATGGTCTTATTTTTTAAAAGAAACACCTTCAGTATACTTTAGTAAACAGTTCAGTATTTTATTTTATTTCCATTAGCAAACAGTCAGTATTGATTTAATTGCATAAAAGGACCAAAGCCAATACTTCCCAGCTTCACAACCCTGTCATGTAATAATGTCAAGTCCCATCTTTCATTCATCATGAAATCTCCATATAAAACACAATGTAGCCGACACATGGTCATGCACATTTCCATACCTCGTAAATATTTCTTGCCTTATTTCAGTCACCAGTATTCTTCCGTCCAGCTGGTAATCACTTCGCCGGCTTTCAAGTTGAGTAAAGTTAAACACACCACCCATTAGCTTGTTCTACATCAATCACCACAACACTACAGCACTACTCTCTTTCTGTTTTCACAGCCCTTAGTGTTAACACAGCACAAAAGCACTACACATTTGAAAGCAGTGGTTTTTTGCTATGCTGTAAATCTCCATGCATTTCAAACTGTCATGGCCCTGGGTCTGTGACCCAGCATTTTATGTTCTGAATTATCATTAATAGTCTCTGATTTCATTGTTATTTATAGTTTCTAGTCTCTTGGTTTCTGTCTCTGTGCTTCCCCTGTGTTCTCTGTGTCACGTCTAGTAAAGGGATGTTTTCATGTCTGTGCTTCGGATTGTTTCAGTGTCAGTCTGTGTCTCTGTGCATGTGTTTCCTGTTTTACTTTGATAGTCTTGTATGCTATGTTAGTGTTTTCAGTTTTGCTTTCCCCGGTCTCGTTGTGTGTGGAATATAATAACAATAGTACCAGACTTTTTTTCTATCTGGAACACATGACAGCAGGTGACCATAGGACATCAGAAAAATAGACCTGAGTCAAAGATCACCAAAAATAATTACATAATTTTTGCATCAGTGTTTTTATGACTCTATCACTGCTGACCTTATGTTGATTTTAAGTATTTTGGATGTATAACAAACTGATAAAAACTGAGTTAATGCCACTGTTTGAGTTATTTACCCTTATGTCCTTTTCTGGCCAGTTCTGTAGTATTGAAGCAATGTGACCACGGTCGTGAATAGTGATAAACAGCCCCCTAGAACAGAGAAAAGCAGACATTTTACATTTTTAGATATTAGACAGTTAACCAGAAAATCCTCTTTCTCAGTCTTTAACTTTGACCTTTCTGCTCTATCAAAGCAAAATGTCACTAAGAAAGTCTTGGCAAAAGAATGGCAACACGTCAACACTTTGTGCTTAAAGAACGAGCCTGAAATCTTTACCTCAGTAACTGTTTGAAGTGAACCGCTATTTCATTTCTGCTTTCTTTCTTCTGAACAAAACTATGTTGAGTATTGGAGTAATGTTAAGCCCAGGGCTTCTTCAGGGACTTTGCTTTGGACCCCAAATATTCACTGATCTTAGTCCACCTAACCCACCCCACCCAACCCTACCTCCCTTACCAAACCTCCGTCTTTGTTTTTGTTTTTTTTCTCACTTACATCAATGTCCTTTGCTCCAGGACAAGGATAAAGAGATCTTCTCAGTGTGTGGGGTCCCACTATAGTACCTTTCCTATTTTACTGACCCATCTGGTTATAGTATGTAAGGGCAAAACCTCCCTCGTATGCCAACAACAGTAAAAACATCACTATTTATAAGGATCTGCTCATAAACTGAAAAAAAGCATCCCAGATCAGTGCTTATGGTGGAAACCAGGAGGAAAATGCAAACAGTATGAGACGCTGTTAAATGTAAGGAAAAACAGAGTGAGATGAAGAGAAAGACGTAAAAGTGTCAAATAAAAAAAAGGCTGTGATATGGCAGGAAAAAAACACAGCAGAAAAGATTAAATTAAAAATTCAGTGGATATCCCACATGTGAACAGCCTTGAAACAGATGCTTTAATTAAGTGCACTCGATATAATTGTTTTCCTTATTTTAAAATAAATGTTCAAACTCTATCTATGTATCTATATATGTTTTTATCTATAGACAGACAGGTAGATAAACAGATAGATCCACCTTCAAATAATGAGCGTAATACTAATTGTGAATCAGTTAGTGTAATACTCTGGTATTATCTGTGACGACAAAGCTCAGACTCAGGGACAGCCAATAAGAGGAAGGTTAGGTTAGTGGCAAAGTGGCAGAGTATAAGATAAATATGCAATATTTTGAACTGTGAATCAAAGGTACTCTAGCAGAGTCCTGGAAATGAGCAAAATGGATTCAATTTAAACAGCTTTAAAACCACACGCTCAATAGCAAATCTTTTAAACTAAACCATCAGCTTTTAGGATAAACCTCTGAATTAAGATGTGTGTGTTTGGTTTGAGCAGTGTAGCTGATCATGCGATGACCACATTTAAATGGAAGAGATGCTTATACGTGGTAAACAACATCAGTAGTCCCGGGGCTCTCCTGGCTCTCCACGTGTCCTTCTTAATCTGTTATTGAGGAGGCCGGGCTCATACACAAAACACTTTTTTGAACTTGTTGTTTTCAGGCTTTTTGTTTTGTTTTATTTTATAGCCACTACACACAGGGCTCACCTTTAAACATGACTATAAAAATTTACTATACGGCAGTGCAACTACTCCATGAAGCAGATACTTCAAGTGTAGACAGTAGTGTTTTGTTGTGTAGCATGGCAAAAGCTGACATTAAGAGACCATACGTTTGCAAGAAAGTAAAATGTCAAAAAATGTCATACATATTTTTCTTAAATGTTTTTTGAGCAAGACCCCAATGTATTAAAACTCAGTCACACCCAACCCAGTGAGCACTCCACCCTATACCAGCTGAAAACCTCAGACCTGGAGTTGGTAGTTCTCATTCTTACCATTTCACGTTTCTCAGCTACAGACTGCCACAGTGTAAGCTAGAAGTCACCACCTGATGAAGCCAAAAGAATGACATCATCAAACTCCCATGCACCCTTAAATATCATGAAGAGGACAAAGAGCTGATATAGAGTTCTACAACCAGAACAAAAAACACATTGTTCCTCTTGAATCTTAGTTCACCTAATGGACAGATTCTCCTCTCCAGTATCTTCCCAGAGAGGGTGAGGAGTGAGATCCCCCTGAAGTTACAGCATAGCCTATCAGCCATGACCTCCGTGTCATATTTGAGAGAAACATCAGCCAGGACAGACCCACAATATCCAGAGCATTAAAAAAAAGCAGGACAACTGTCATACACCCCAGGCACCCTGTCACTTAGAAGTTGTTTATCTACTTCAGTGACAGGGGGCCTGGAGTGATGGATGAGTTTCTGCATTATGTCCAGGAAAAAGAAAGTTTATTGGACAACAGATACACAAATAATAAATCAGTCAGGCTGATTCATGCTCACAGAGCATGAATGACCTAAGACACTGCTTGTTGCAAAGCCTTTAAAAAGTGCAGTGGTTCCTCTAATAAAAAGAGGTCTGGAGGTCAAATAAAGGTCACATGGCCACAGACATCTGGCATTCAAAAAGTTTCAACTCTTCTGACACACATCTGCACCCATCTGCACATCTATGCACAAAAATGTTTAAGAGTCGGTTCAAAAGCAGCGCGGAGAGATCATTAAGAGAGTCTGCAAAATGTCTGCAGCTGTAAGGGGCTGTAGGGATCAGGACAAGAGCGAGGAGAAGGAGTGGCCTGCTGTGTGTGTTTATGTGAGGCCAGGAGGACATGAGCCACTGCCAGCAACAGCATTATGATGAATTTTTGGGGAAAGAGAGGTGATGGAGCTGAAAGGTTGACCTCAAAATATGACTGTTGGAAAACAATTTCATACAATGAATCAAAGCAGACGGGCTGGCTGGCAGTAATTCCTAACCTCTGTCAACCTGAATATTACCAAAAACATTTCAGGTTCATGTTTTTCATTATTTCTCTTCCTCCAATACTAATTTTCTGACACTTTGTACTTTCCGGGGAGCTGAAGACCTCATGACCTGAGCCACTCATTTGAGCTTAATCAGGATTACAGCTCATAGAATAGTAAATAAATGTATCTCATAACGTCACAAGTCATAGTGTTTTAAATCCATCATCACTGTCTATCTAGGATAATACATCTGGAACACTGATTTTACATGGACAAACCAAGCTGGATGAGTCACTGTCAATATATGGCAGCTGTAAGGTAGTTGTGTACGATATGAAGCCTTTCACCCACAGATCAGGGAACAGTACTGTAAACTGTGTGTGCAGTGGACATCAACACACAAACAAAAGGGAAAAGAGAAGTGTGTCTTGCATATTTGTGTGAGAACATTGTTGCAGAATGAAGTCATTGCTGCTAGTTATAGGTTCAGATTTGGGTTGAGGGTAAAGGAAAATTCCACCCTCTGATAGTTTGATCGTTGCTTAGCTAACAAGAAAAAATAAGGTGGACCGCACAATTTCTTGGCCATAAAGATTTGTGGCCAACACTGATATTGTTTTTCCTACAACAATGATTTCAAACTTTCTTTGTAAGAAGTAAATCTGCTGCTCTGTCAGATGAATTCAAAATGTCTTGCAACTAAACCTTTCAGCAGTTATTTATTCTGTGTATTTATACCACATTTCTTGTTATATTCATTTCCTATAGGAATAGCTCATACATATTTATATCAACCTTTCATAGAAAGTTTTATGTAGTCTGGAATTTTAATGTTTATTCTTATCTACATTTAGTCTTTCTACCATAATTTCCAGCTAAGGAATAACTAGCGGACTATAGCTTACCCTTTTTTACTCTTTTATTCATTTTATCTAGCTATTTCACTATTAATGGTAAATGGACTGATTCTTATATAGCGCTTTTCTACTCTTTTGGAGTACTCAAAGCGCTCTACACAACATGCCATATTCACCCAATCACACCCAGTCTCACAAGCACTTCCTCTAAACTGAGTGATCCTAATTCAGACATTCATACTCCGATGAATCCATCGGACAGCAACTCGGGGTTAGTATCTTGCCCAAGGATACTTGACATGCAGGATAGAGGAGCCAGGGATCGAACCACCAACCTTCCATTCAGTAGGTGACTAGCTACAGCTAAGATAATCCCTAATGTATGTTTGTTCCCTACTTTAAGTTAACCATTCTGGCCTTCTATCTTATCAATTTAAAGCTTAACAATTAACTGTTTCCTCTTACTATTTACCTAACGGTTCCTCCAACTTTTAGCTAACTTTTAGCTAAGCAACTTTAGCAATTGCTTTCACCAAAAGATTAACAATAACTTGGCAACTATAACTTCAATTCTTATTTGATGGGTAGTTTTTCCTACACTCTAAATTCCTGTTGTTTAGGTGTAACACATAAAGCAGTAAGCAAACAACATTTTAAAAATGTTTTCACAGTAGTTGAACAATCTTTAGGCCCATTCCCAACCACTGGAGTAAATATCTCTGGTTAAGAGGCACATTTTCATCCTCGGATTGATGCTTTGGCTTCTACTAAATGATTTCAATATTCCATTTTTTTAAAGTTTGCTTTTTAATGTGCCTGTTTGTGTGTGTGCGCATGTGTCTGGCTGCTGCTGATATAATGACCACAATGAGTAGCAGACGCCCTATTTTCTAGATGAGAGGACAGCCACAAAGCATTGAGCAGCCACGTCTGGCTCCTCCAGTGTAAGAGTGTGGAGTGAACACAGAAGGTAAAGAAAACAACCTGATGGGCCGAAACAGCCCAACGGCTGACCTGCAGCCCCATACAAAACACACCCCAGGGATTGTGGCTGCTGGACGCCGTCGGGAGGGAAAGCTGCTTTCTTCACCATGACCCCAAAACACACCAGAACCCCACAAGAAAACCAACCTCCAATCTTTGACCCGTGTCCACACCAAACCAGCCACCATTCTTCACTCCCGCCGTGTAACCTTAATCTTCACTGTGCTGGACGCCCTCAGTTAGCAAGGTTCAACTGACACAATGGACACAAATCACTGAGAAAGAGTGTGAAAACAATGTTAAAGGTCACAGCCGCGCAATATGAGAATTTGACAACTAATTAAGCAACAAATCTAGCATGAAAAACTTTTTTATGGTTTGTCTCTGGCCACTGAGGAAAAACATTATGACAGGATTTAGTTCTTGATTT